CCACGCGGCCTCCTTCACGGCGGTGGTGCCAGGGCCCAGGAGAGAAAGTCGATGCGCAGAAAAGGACGCCGGATGCTGGGGAAGTCGTCGACCCTGTTCCGCAAGCTGGGGGGGGGGGGCTCCCCCTCCCGCTCACCTGGCCTGTTGTTCTTCCCTGAGAATAAAGATGCTGGGCCCTTCAGGAGATGAGAGCCTCTCTGCAACTGGGCCTGCTCTGGGTCCCTTTCCCTGCACTTGGCAGCACAGTGATCCCAGTGGAGTCCCCTCCCTTGTTCCGAGGGCAGGCCCTTGCGGGCTCAGTCTCCAAGTCACAGGGCAGCAGCCCAGCCACCAGCTGCAAAGGGGATCCAGCAAGGTGTGTTGAGCCAAACCCGGCCCACAGAACAGGGGAAGGCCGCAGTGCCGCAGCCGGCAGCGCCTCTGCCCCTGCACCTCCTCCCAGGCCGAGGGCAGAAGCAGGGAAGGCAACGTTTCCAAAGGCACCAGTGCCTGCCGCCGCCGCCGCCTCAGGGATGCAACAGGCGCCAGCAGAGGGGGGGAAGCAGCCGGCTGCCACCGTCCTCCTGTCCTACGGCAGGTGGCGGGTGGTGCTTCGTCACCCAGCCAAACGCCACCGCATCGTCCTGTCTAACCGCAAAGCTTGCACTGGGGGTTGTAATGCCCAGAGAGGTTTCTAGCTCATGCAGTCTTGAAATGAAAACCTGCCCAATGTAGAATCAGGCTTTGCTGCTTGTCCTCTGGCAGGATCCTTTCAGATGGGAGATGCCTAGAATGAGCAGGCAAAAGGCATTTTGTGGCAACGTCGTCTTGGACTCCTTCAAGAATTTGTTGCAGGAAGGGAAGCGGGAAAGAAGCGACTGAACACACGGGAGGGTCCCCAGCGGGAGGTGGCACTGGCATGGATGAGGTGGGGGCGGCACGCAGAGGGCATCCTCTGGGGCCCCCCCTCGCCCAGCTGCATCAGAGCTGCCAAAGGCCACTCGGAGCCGGGCATCAGCGGGAAGGCAAAACGCTCCCTTGTCAAGGGAGGAAACCCGACAGCTTCCTCTGAGGGGCTGGACGTCTCTGCCTCAGCGCAGATTTGGAGCTGGGAATTTGCAAGAGGCACTACTTAACTCGGAGGTCTGGACGCGCTCTGAGCCATCTAAGGAACAGCCCACCAAGAAGCCGCAGTCTAGCCGGATTCCCGCCTCCGGCCTGCACGTCCGGCCACCTGGCAGAACCTGCTGCAGAATCAGGGTAGTTCGCAGGCACACCGGGAGGCCCAGGAAGTGCTGCCTGGGCGGGTACCTGCCTCTAGCTCAGCTTCTCGGAGAGGCATCCAAAGAGCTCAGCTCATCAACCTAAGACATTTCAAGTCCCAGCAATCCATCTAAGTCTGGGAGAAATGTTCCAGATGAATTCAGAATGGATTGTTTCCCTTCCTTCACTCTTGATCCAATTATTTTTAGTGACAGCTGGAACATTTCCCAACTATTGTGCTAATAGGGCGCCAGAGTGGTGCAGTGGGGGGCGCGTGTGGGCCTGGGAGAGGGGTGGCCCCTGTTCCGGCCTTTGCTCAACCATGGTGCTCCCGGGGCCAGCCACAGATCTCAGCCCAACCTCCCTCACAGGGTTGTTGTTATGAAGATAAAACTGAGAGGAGGAGGGTTATGTAAGCTGCCTTGAGTTCCTTAAAGGAGAAAAGGTGGGACATGCACTAAATAAATAATACAGAATGAATGAATGAATGAATGCAGAATGAATGAATGAATGAATAAATAAATACAGAATGAATAAATAAATACAGAATGAATGAATAAATACATAAATAAATAAATACAGAATGAATGAATAATATAGAAATGTTCCATGTTATTTTCTTTAAAACACTAGTAACTGGACAAAACAAGGAAACTTTCTGTCTGTCCCTTAGAAGGAATTTGGCTTTTCCATGCTGGGTTTCATACCCACAAAGGGCTTATGCTCGCCTTCCAGAGCATCGTGAGCTGCTCTCCCCGGCAGTGAGGGCAGGACATGGTCCAATGGGGCAAAGTTCAAGGAACCGGGCTTCAGGTGGGTGGGATGCCAGGAAGTGCTTCCTGAGGGTCAGGGCCCCTACGTTACGGAATGGGCTTCCACAGGAGGTGGCGGGGCACCAAGGAAAGACTGGACCAACACATGCTGGGGATTGCATGAGAGGAGCCGGCTGGAGCCGGGGGTCAGACCAGATGGCCCAGCAGGTCCGTTCAGACTCGCTCTGCTTCTATGTTTCTATGTATTTTAAATCTTTGCACTTCTGACAGCCTTCTTTTTTATTTTATTTTGTAGTTCTAAACCAATGTAATAAAAAATAGATCATAAATAATATAAATAAACAAATGAACGAGCGAATGAACAAACAAAGGAACGAATGACATCAGTGGAACAGAAGCCACACACTGCACATGCAGATTGCTCTACCAAAGGTTTGTCGCAACGGTTGGTTGTTATCAGGCCTTCTATGGAAGTCTAATAGTTGGAGTGACTTCCCAGGGGAAAATCCATAAGCACCTGCAGCTGGCCCGCTTGCTTTAAATGTGCGGGTGCCGACTTGGCGTAGCATTTCCAGCTGGGCCACAGCAAGGCGTTCAGGCCAAGCCTCCCTCAGTTCCTGCTCGGCAGGCTCTGAAGGTCTGGCGGGCAGCTGATCGGGGTCGCCGAGCGCTTCCGGCCACGCCTGCCCTGTGTATGTCCTTACAGACCCATCACTTAATAATGCGTAGTAACAGGAGCACTTCTCATGCATTGCTTCAGTCATCTTCCGGGGGGAGCACGCCTGCTGGGACTTGGAGACGCAGCGGCCCCTGCAACAGTAAGCAAGATCAGGCGCCAGGTGGGCCACGCCAAAGCGGTATCTGTGAGCGAGAGCACCAAGGCTCCGGGGGCGGGGGGGGGGTGCATGGCAGGGGAAAGGCAACTGCCCGGCAACGACCAGAGCGTGTTGTGAGGCTGACCTTAAGGCGGCTCGGTGTCCAAGACACTGCCCGGAACTAGTGTGAATGCATTAAGAAGGGCCTGAAGCTTTTTGCCCTGGCAGCCAAGCAATCCCAAACACTCGGCAGCCTTTTAGTGACCCTACAAGGTTTCTCCCCATTAGAAGACTGAACTCCTGCAGCACCAACAGAAAGCTTCCATTGTCAAGCCAACGGCTGATCTGGAGGATGGTAAGAACCAAGAATGACCGCCAATCCAACCAACTCGTGTCGGAGCTCTGCACAGGTAGTGAGACGCAGGGAGCAGGCCAACTGCTCGCCTTCTTCCGGAGGGCCAGTCCCCGCTCGTGTAAGAAGGGCAGCGTGCAGTGCCACCAGCACGCCAAGTGCATAATGCTCGTGGGGGCTCCCTGGGGTGCCGCACAGGCCGAGCTCCCGGAAATGGCATCGCATCACGAAGCCCTGCCACCTGTACGTCTCTCCTCTACACCTGCATGCAGCGATTTCTATTCAAAGGGCCATGCCCTTCTGTTACTCTCAGACGGAGGCGAAGAGCAGAGCGCTGCGCTTTTCCACAGAGCCATTTGCTCACCAGGCCGCCCAAGCGCTGCTCGCCCTGTCGAGACCCACAGCAAAGCCTGGAGCTGCAGCCAAGCGCGCCTTCCCTTCTCCGGGCATCCCGTAGCAATGCCACGCGAGGGTCCGCACGACACAGGAAGACAAGCTGACAGCACATCCCTGAAAACCTCACAGGTTAACATCCCCAGGTACTCTCTCCTTCCAGCTATGGCGTAATTTCCACAATGAGCAGAGATGCTCCTGCTGTATGGCTCTACGAATGCTTGAGAAGATGCGAGGGAAAGGAAGCAACCGTGCAGACCTTCTCAATGCAGGGAAATGCAGAAACAATGAAGGGGATTTTGGGGAAGGGCTCCCTCGCAGTCGGGGGGGGGGTTCAGCTGGCAGCCCAGGGGGCGGCATTTTGCGCAGGAGTGCTCCTCCTCCCCAAGCCCCCTTTCCTCCAACCATGCGCAAATGCATCACCGCCAAGGAGAGCATGGAGATATGTGGGTCTCCAGCATACCCCACAGCCCATCCTCCATGAGAGCCGGACTCCTCCTGGGACAGAGTGCCAGGCAGCAACGGACCCAGCCTGTTTTTTAACATTTTCCCGCAATCACCCTCTGAGGCCAGCGACACTCAGTCACTCGCCCCCTCCCCTTTTAGAGAAACATGCTATATGTGCAGACCGTGTTTGGCGGCTTAATTTTGCTTGTACTGAAACCAGAGCTGGGGTAGCACATAGAAACCGAGCATTCCTTAAATGCTAAGGTTGGTTGACCTTGGATTTCACCCAGAGCATGGGAGGCTATGGCAAACTCCTACAGTTGCATTTACTTGAAGCACACAGGAAAACATGCAAAAGGTCTTAACTCCATCAGTCCAAATAAATTCTCCTCAGAAAGAGGAAGAGTGGATGAGATGCTTCGCAGGTCCAGTTGTGCTTCCCTTCAGCACCACGGACAGTTCCCAGCAGCCACCAGGGCTCTTTCTCAGAGCTCTCAGCTGACCAGGCAGAATGATCGTTTCCCCTCCACAAACATCCTTCCCATTCTGATGAGCAGTATGATCACTCTGATTATCAATCAAAAATGCATAGGTATCATGTTGTAGTAATATGCCATCCCTCTTTTTCTGATCCCACCAGAGAGTGGCCAACCTACCAGGAGTCCATGGAATATCTGGTAAGAGTGGCCTCCGTAACGACACGTAGTTGGCTAGGATGCATCATTAGCCACAGGCACTGGAAAACGTATTCTGGATCTACGTTGTTCCGGGGTGAAAGCCTCTTTTCCCACGGGAACATTCCTGAGGGGTGGAGCAACGCGAGTGCTTCTTCCCAGCTCCTCTGGCGTGGCACAGCGTCGGCATCCCCAGTAACACTGTCTCGAAGGACTCCCTCCCCACTTGCCGCTGCACAAAGCAGGTGAACGCAAGAGCTCTGCTCTGGCTCAGGTGACGTGTGCCAGTGGGCGAGGACGCCCCCTATTTGGGTGGTATCACTACCAAAGGCAGGCCCCTCTTGGGCCTCCACATGAGGACCTGGGCATCGTTGGCATTGGGTTTCACCAGTGCATTTGGCGGGATGGGCTCCATCCTGCTCAGGATTTTGGGCTGCTCCTGCTGAGTCCTGCCCACCAGCCGAGCTCGCTTGCCCAGGAGCTGCATGGGATCAACCTCAATGTCCACTCGCATCCTCCATTTTATTGTCTGCAAGATTATTTTTTCCTTGGTGGTCATATTCATGGCTACCAGCCACGTGGTAAAGCTCTGATCCCGCTTGATCCTAGTCAGCAGGGGCACATTGCTGTCACTCACAGGGACAGCCCAGGTCACACTAGGGTAGAAGTTGTCGTTCATACTGACGGAGAACCTGGACACCTTGTTGGTGGGGCCAGTCAGGGTCACGGTCTCCGTGGTGTTTCCATACCAAGGGTAGCTCACTCCATCAGAGTCACTGATGGCTTTTACGCGTCCTTCTCTCAAGTCGGGAAGCTCCCAGCTCGACCTAGGCGGAGGCGAAAGAGAAAGCCGGGTGAGGAAATCTGTAGTAACAGGCGCTAAGCAATTCCTGCCAATTCACACTTGCAAAAGCAGATCGCATCAGAAGCATCACTTGCCATTTTTAAGAGGAAAAAGCGAGAGAAGAATAAGTATGGGGTAAAGAGGACTCAAAGAAAGTATATGCAGTAACTGAGCATACGCACGGAGCAAAAGAGGGAACTGGAGCAAGCAATGCTCTCTCGGCAGCCGCTCTGCTGGCCAAACCCATCCGGGCAGCTTCAGTTAATTGCTGCACTACACGACCTCCTCCTGCAAACAGTATCTACTCACTGGTGGTTTCCTCCTCTCCACTGCTACACATTCAAGGATACGATCGGCTGGAACGCTCCCTCAGGAGCGGGAGGGCTGAGACTGCGAGGGGCTGGAGTCATTTTTCCTACTTACAGCAGTTGACACACATCCTGTCCTAGATGAATGTGAGTGAGAAACTCAGCTGAAGAGACAGCAACCAAGTTTAACACTCTTTGACTATAAGAAAACGGAGGCCAGTCACTACTCTGGACACCAGGCGGCCCGCCCCACGAGCGATCCCAGAGCACCGCGCAGTCCAGAGCCGCGTCTGACCTCCTTCCCACTAGGCAGCTGACCCAGAAACAGCTCTCTCTGCCAGCCCTGGGATCAGGACGGCTTCTTGCTACCAGAAATAAGCCAGGACTACTTTCACAAACCGTCCTTGCATCCCTCGTTTGTCCATCACTTGCAAAATCTGGCTACATCTTGAACAAGTTGGGCTGGATTTCCTCACCGTCCTGAAGAGATCAGACTCTTAAGGCACTCAAGGCAAGCAGCGCCGCCAGAGCAGAGAAGCAGCCCAGCCCTCCTGCAGCAGCGCCCTGTGAACCCCTTCCGGCTGGGAAGTCATTTTTCCCCCTTGGATGGTCTTGGAGCCACGTCGCCGCGTCAGATTTGCAGGGAGGGACCTGAATCGCTTCATGGAGTTGGAGGAGGCCTTCTAAAAGCCACCCAACCCAATCCCAATCCCAATCCCACAAAGGACCCGTCCCCAGAAAAGATATCCTAGAAGAGCCACACCTCATTCGTATAAGATGGTCTGCTAACACTGGTATCTTTAAACATGCTTGACCTGAATTAAATGCACCAGCAGACCTGAATTAAATGCACAGGTGTGCAGAACGGTGCAGCTGTGCTGCATAAGACTGAAGACCCGGCCAGCTGCCCAGTGCTCCTCCCACCCCCCACCCCCCCGATGCCCGCAGAGACCCCGAGCAGGCAGGGCAGAAGTGGCACATCTGAGGAGCCCTTCCCGCAGGCGCCAGCCCCACCCCTTGAGGGGAAGGTCTGGATAGCGCGAAGAGCCCAGCAGGCCGGCCAGTGTGACTGACGCCAGAGAAGGGGGCTGCCCCAACAGGGACCAGCCCCCTGGATTACTTGGCAGGAGGGCAGTCCAGCCCCAGTCTGAGAAAAGGGGAGCCTCCACGACTCTGCTCGGGAGCTAGGTCGGCCTGCGGCTTTTACCCTCCCTCTGCAGACTCCGTTAATGGAAGCTCCTATCGAGGCGGATCAGTGACGCCAGCCCACCGTCCAGGCTGGCGGACGACTGTTATCGGGGAGCGAATGTGATGGAAGAGGAACTGGGTCACCCCATTCTGCCCAGTCAGCGATCACCCTTCCAGCATTTGTCTCTGACGGGTCTGTCGTGCTCAGCACACTCTTCCTCCATGTCTGCTGAGTGTCGCACTGGCTCTGTAATCAGTGCTTGCCAAATTCCTGGAGGCAGAACCCAGCTGGGGCTTCTGGTGATGCCCAGTCGGTGGCTCTTCAGGGAGAAGACCGCATACCAGAATGCCCCTTGGGGTGCTGCGTGGGCGCAGCGCAAACCCTCAGCTCCAGTCTCTGCCACCCACCCGCTCCTCTTCCTCGTCTCTGGCTGCGGGGCAGGGCTTGGACACGGGAGGCCCCCAGAGCTGGGACTCCAAATCCACCCACTGGGTAATGCCGGCCAGCCGGCCACAGCCCCCCGCCCCTCCTGAGGCACATGTCCCTGCGCACATGGCTTCTCAATGGCCGCAAGGCGGATGCTGGGAATTAGAAGCTATTAGACGTTCCTCTCCTATAATGCGATGGAACTGTGGGCCTGAACCACATTCGGCATCTGAACAGGTGGAACGGAAAGGCCACTTCTAAATGAATCCTTCTGTGGCAACTGATCTGCTTTTCCTGAAGTTCGCACACAGCTCTTAGCCAAGCTCATTCAGGGATGTGCGAGGGATCTGTCTGCAGGTGGGGACCTGCCGGAGGTGAAGGGGAGAGAAGCGGGCCCTGGTCCGTGAACAGCGGCGGGAGGACGCGGTGGACCACTGGCAAAGCCTCCCTGGGCAGGGGCGCTCTATCTCTGATGTGCTGCTGAGCTGCTGCCTTTGCATCTGGCTGGGCCGGCAGGCACCCTCTAGCCTGGCAGTCGCATAGACGGCCGCTCCGTGACACAGCCTGCTCCCGGCAGCGGGCGAGGCACGCGTCACTCTCCTCTCGACCCAGCTCGACACGCGACGGGTGTGCACTACCAGGCTGCCTCTCCCTCCGCAAGGGCACCGGCCGCCCCGGCTCTTCAGCCACACGGCCCTCGCGGCCTCTTGCCCGGAGCAGGTGGCGCCAACCCCGAGCTTCCCAGCAAGGCCGAGCAGCCCAAGGCCTCCAGGGAAGAGGCCTCCATCCCCCGAGCCCTGCCCTGCGCCCGCCACGCCAACCGTCACGAGTGGCGCAAGGGGGAAGGCGGCGGGGGACTGCGCGGCGAGGTAAGAAGTAGCCCCCTGGAGACAGCGCCCGCGTCACGGGAAGCACACCTGTCGGGCCACCTACAACTCATGGCTCACCTTCCTGCTAGCGAGCCAAAAGCGTTCGTGAGCGAGTCAGTGCAGGCGTGTTGGAGGAGCCACTCTCTGCCGCTCTCAGCACATCAGCCCCAGTTGCAGCGGCGTCTCAGCGGGGCCCGGGGTGGCGGGACGCCACCACGCCTGAGTCCAGGCAGCGGGACGTGAGCCCAACCCCGGAGGAGCACGCGAGGGCCGCGCATTTCAACTGATGCCCTCGGAGGCTGGAACAGGGTTCGTGTTGCTATGGTTACTGGGAGCATCAGCATCGCTTGGCTACAGTCGTGAAAACACATGCTCAGAGCCTGAAAAAAGCAGGGGGTGCCAAGTGTGTCCGAGAGCTGCTCCTCCAGATGGCTGTTGGGAAATGGAAGTTACAGATCCAGGAGCTGGCAGAGGGCGGTGGGGCGGCACGTGGCAGAGGCTCCTCTTTAGGCAGCCCCACTGCAGGGCCCCAGAAAGCCCAGTCAGACCTCCTGACCGGAAGCGATCGCTGCCAGCCTCTAACAGGCCTTTCCAGAGCAGCTGATTTAGGTAGCGACAACGCAGCTCTGCAACTCTGGATGGTGCCCACATCGGGGGGCTTTGGGGCTGGCACGGCCCTGGACGCCCCAGTGAACGGCCTTTGCTGACAGAGCAAAGGCAACTCCGGCATCTTTCGACACGCTTGTGCTACCCCAGCTTTTGCCCAGAGCACCAAACTAGAATCACACCCTGCCATGCCACGCACTTGCCTGTGTGTAAACCGCACCTTCGGGGTTTACATCAGGCGCCTCCAGGGCTGCAACCCCCACCCAGTAAAAGGGACAGCCAATCCGCAAGGCGAGACTCGCGCCCACAGCTAGGGGGAGACGGGACAGCCTGCCGCGCGTGCCTTGAGCACCTCTGAGGTGCTTCCTGCAACGTGGAAAAGGCGGTGCAGCGTCGTTCCGCACAGGACAGATGCTGCCTCTCTAATTAGAGATACAAAATTTCCACGAATGTTGAAGCCGTGGGAAAATGTGAGATTTGGCAGAATATTGACAAATCTGCATATTTTAGCACTCTTTGTGGACCGTTTTGTTGCCTTGGGAAAGCCCTCGCCAGCCTGTTGCCCAGGGGATGCATTGGATTTTGGCTTCCATCAGTACCAAACTGCTGATCCAGTGCGCAGAGATGCTAGGCCTCGTGGCCCAAAACATCTGGAAGGCACCATGCTGGCGGAAGGCTGCTTCAGGGACGCAAGTTATGCTATGCATGATTGCAACATTATTTTGATTGAAAAATTAAAAACTTTAAAATTGCAATTGAAAACTTGTAGAAGAAAACGCAATAGATTTGTAATTATTGACTTCATGAACCAAGCTATATTTTTAAATTTTATATACAAGACTTCACAATTTTATGAACAAAACATGTTATGCATATACATTTTAGGTTCCTATTTTATGTCTGACCCAAGGAAACTTCAGCAAATCATCATGGAAATAGCAGAATCATCCTAGACTCCAAAAGGAGCAGGAAGAAGTGGAGGTAGGAGAAGACAGTCCCTCTTTCTAAGGAAGTTTAGGGGATTCCGGTTCCTGCCGTAGAGCTCAGGGAAAACTGATCTGCAGGAAAGGCTATCAGAATTGTATTTAGTTGGGAAAGACTTTGCTTAGGAATGGTAAGCCAGCCTTGTTTAATTTTAAGAACCATTAAGCAATCTCTACCTATTATCTGAAGATAGTATTTCTGTTATTATGTACCTTATTTCCTTTTGCAAATATTTCCATGAACATCTTATTTTTGATTGCTTTGAAAAGTGATCTCCAGTGACAGCATCTGTCATGCCTGCCTTGGAGCATCCCTGGGTTGTGGTTGTTGTTGTTGTTGTTGTTAGTCGCGAAGTCGTGCCTACCAGCAAGAAATCCATTATAGCAATCTTTTTTAAAAGGAACGAATGAACTGTGTGTGCTGGGAATCATACAGAAAGAATGTACCAAAAACATTCAATGATCCTTTCATTATTTCCAGAAATGTTATATAACTAATTTTTCTACCAACACTTCTTAGTTTTTAGAAATCATTTAGGGAGTAACAACATATAAAAACTTTGCCTGCAGTATTTTATTAATCATTTTAAAAGAAAAATTCCAGAATCCAAAATGGTTCAATTTCTGTTCTTGGAACAAACGTGTTTCCCCTAAATTCCTCCTGGTTTTCTCATTGGACTTGAATTCACACTCTCAAGCACTTCAGTATGTAAACCGATGTGTATGATATAATGAATTCATGTGCTTACCGCAAGAAAAAACTTACATTTTCCCATAGTAACATTAATGCACAGACCTGCACTGCCCTATAAATGAGGAAATCTTTAGTTCGAATCCCTTCTCCGCGTCGCACTCATTAGCTGCCCTGCGCGACCGATTCTCGGCTGCAGTGTGCAGATCGTGGCAGTGACCTGCCTGGTGCGGGTCCCAGAAAGAGCGCCTCGGCTAAGGGGCATTTCACCCGGCGCCTGGGACAGCCATGGCGGGGGCGGGGGCGGGCGAAAGGGCGCCGGGGGCCGCGCCGGGGCTCCGCACGCCCAGCCGAGACAGGGCGCCCAGCGGGAGCGAGAAGGCCTCCCTCTCCACGCGCCTCCGCGGGCCCGGCGGGGGCCGCCCGGACGACGCCACCCGCGGCCGCGCCGCTGCTCCCCCGGCGGCCCGGAAGGCCCCGCAGCGCCCGCGCCCGGCCCCGCCGCTCGCCCCA